GTTATGCCTCTGCTCATCCTGCAGGAAATGCTGTTGAAACGAGCCGCCGACCTCGTTGAAGCCCTCTATGGAACGCCCCATAACAACCAGGTCAGCATGACGGCGCTCAGCTGGGTGCTCGGGTCCAGCAGCAGACACCAGAAGACGTCTCCAAGCACGCTGCTGAACTTGTGCCTTTCCTTCCGCAGGACATCATTCTGAAACGGGCCGCAGACATCGCGGAAGCTCTCTACAGCGTACCGAGGAACCCCGCGCAGATCCCTGCACTGTCCAGCTCCCCTGCTCACAGCAGTATGATGGGAATCAACTCCTACGGCAGCCAGTTGGGAGTCAGCATTTCAGAGTCAACACAGGGGAACAACCAAGGTAAGCGTTGCAGCAGTACGGCGTTAATTTAGACAACGATGTCAACCACAGTTGCTCCCTCAGTGGTTCCTCAACTTCTCTACCTGCCCAGCTTATGCACAGAAAGGGGGCTTTAAACCGTCAGCTCTGGAAAGGGACATGTGCTGCCATTCTGGGTGGCACTATGTTCTGCACCAGGTTCCAGTCAACAGATTAGCTATGGCTGAAATAATTTTTGAGTAGGTTTTTATACCAACTTAACCCTGAATTCTCTCCCTGCTCCCCTCAATATCTTCTTTGTTGGTGGTGTTATTATATCTCTGTTTTCATAAAAGACAAGGACAGTGACTGAAAAAACCCTCTCACAGTCAAAGAGGTGGGGAGTTTTCTTCTGTTTTTTTAAGGCTGCTTCTTCAGCGTTAATTTTACCAAGTTGCCTATGTTGTATGTATTTCATTTACTCCAGATATTTTATTGATTGTTAGGAAAACATGCCATAAAATGATATATAAACAGCAATACATCATGGGAGCAACATCAACTTTGGACATTTTCTGAGTCTTAAATATTTTGATGTTCAGCACTGGGTTCCAGTAACGTGCAGTCTGTGGCTGACTGCAGGAAGATCTGTGTGTAACACTCTACGTCAGTAAACCCACGTCACATGAAGTCAGTGTTACATATGCCCCATTAAAAATCATCATGTAGATAATTTTGCTTGTTTTTCTAATAAGGTCTTACCTGCCCTGAATTAGAACTTCATAATATAAATGGGCAGAAATAACCTGACTTGATATCTACACGGTAACCCCCTTTTAAAGTAGCTATTGGATCACTTTCTAATGAAACCTTTTCCATGGAAAAAACCTTTTGCAGCTGTAGTAGCCTTGTACCTTCATGCTCATAGCTGTGGTGTCCTTCAAGCCTCTTTTTGGAGAAAAAAAGAGGCTGAATTTTGGTTCTCAAATATTTGTGATTTTTTTTTTAAAGACAAAACCTGATTTTTACTTACCCAGTTGATTCTTTCTCCCAAGCAGAGTGTCGTTGAAGTCAAGCTGCAAACAATATACGGTTTATAATTTCCCCTTAGTAACATACTTGCTTTATTTGCAATTTATCAATAATTTGAAAAGTATAACCTCCTCCCTAAAATTGTAGAAAATACCACCTTTATTATAAATTCTACCTCAGAAAAAGATAAGCACGTGCATTTTTTTCCAGGCCTTAGAACAAATTTCAACTTTTAACAAATCAAATCTGATGAGGAACGAACTTACACATCAGTGCCCTTCAAAAAGTTAGTTTCCCCATTGTTTTAAAACTCAGTCTCTCTTAACTTGAAAGCTCGTGCATAAAACCCGCTGAATTTAATGGTACTTGCTTAAATGTTTTAATTAATGTGGATTTAAATAAGTCATTACTTTATTTAAGCAGGGCCTATGCAGCAGAAAGTTTTAAGCCAAAGATCCATTGACGTGCTTCGAAATGCGTTGGCTTTGTTTTAGGTTACATCCGTAACACGAGCAGCATCTCGCCCCGAGGTTACTCATCCAGTTCCACCCCGCAGCAGTCCAACTACAGCACTTCCAGCAACAGTATGAACGGCTACAGCAACGTCCCCATGTCAAACCTGGGCGTTCCAGGCTCCCCTGGGTTCATTAACGGCTCGCCAACAGGATCCCCCTACGGATGTAAGTGCTTTGCTGCTTTTCTGTTTGATTCTCACTCCTGCTTTACTTAATTTCCCGCTTCTGAAACACAGCAAGTGATGTCTTCCAAGAGAAGTTCTCGAGGTTTAGTGAAGGTTTGGGTAAAAGGTTCTGATTTGTGTTCTGGTATTTTTTAGTTTAGAAAATTTAGAAGATGTTCCCATTTCTCAAGAAGAAGAGAGGAATATTGAATCCTACTTGTGTTTCCTTCACTTTTATCCTTACACAGATTCCTAAGTGGCAAAGGCCGCAGTGAGAAATGAGGTGCAGTTTGCACCTTCAGATGATTAAGCAAGTAGCCATCACTTTTAGTGTAGAATGGACAGATCGGAATAGATCTGAATCCTGTGTAAAAGCCACTCTAAAATAATGTTTATCAATAACAGAGAGCTGAATGGTGGATTCATTTCCTGTGAAACTAAATCTCCGTGATAACCAGAAATATAACGATGATGGAATTAAGTTTGGAAGTTAGTGTAACTGCGTGGGTAACACATATATGTAAAGGGATGAACAGTTGAACAGCTATTTACTATTGATCTGTTCTGTAATTACTTACCTACACCATCGCTCCCGGAGGATGTAGCTCCTGATCATGTCAGGATCCTGCCTTTCCAGAAAACACCTGGTATCCCACAAATATTATTTTATTTACATCACATCACCTGTGTGAGGACAGACCCATTTTGCAGGGACAACGAAGGCTCCTTTGCTGGTCTGAAACCTGCTAAACTCCATCCTCACAGTTTGAGCTGTAATTTAAGGCCAAGGTGCAACTCAAAGGGTTTTCAGGTACTTTTGATACTTTCCCTCTTCTGGAGCTTTGCCATTGGCATCAGTGAGGAAAGGACGGGGTCTGCAGTGTATTATTACTTTGGTTTCAAACTAACACTTCCACGAGACTTGGGGATCCCCGTGAACCCACATGAAATATGGTAATTTGTACCTAGGAAGGTGAGCAAACAGTTGCGTAACAAGCTATTGGACATATAATGGGACTTTTTCTTGCAAGATACTTCTTTTAAAAGAAGCCAGTTTAGATTAAAATCCAAGCAACAGCTTAACACACTCCCTCTCAACTCCAGCCAAGGAAATGTTCATGTTTAAAAAGCTGAGGAGGGCAGAGGAAGAACCGGCCTTCCCGATTTCCAGAGCACAGACTGTGAGTGGACAGGGTTGTTTGTATTGACTCGCTCCCTCCCGTGATGACTTACTGTTTTCTGATAGCCGTACCCTTCATTTTAAAAGAATTAAGCACTCTCTTTTCTGAACTATTCCATGTAACTACCTCTCTCCTTCAGATTTACTGTGAACAGCGAGTCCGTGTGAGAACGAGATCTTCTTTAAGAAGCAGAACGAGCACCCAGAAGGCAGACATTTTAAGCAGAGTCACCAAACTTCTGTACTTGCATTTCTGATGAGCATTCACTTTTCTCTTTTGCAGTAATGTCTTCAAGTCCAACAGTTGGCTCCTCCAGCACTTCTTCCATCCTTCCGTTCTCCTCTTCCGTCTTTCCTGCTGTCAAACAGAAGAGTGCCTTTGCTCCTGTCATCAGACCCCAAGGGTCTCCTTCTCCCGCCTGCTCTAGTGGCAACGGCAATGGGTTTAGAGGTAAGAGAGGTTCAGTTAAGACTCAGCCCGCACATAAAGCACCCTGTTAGCCTGGGTTGACACAGTAATCGTCTGAATGCCATTACGCTGATACTGCAGGGCTCGGTAGTGAAAATCTGACCAATCCAGCTGGATTAAAGCCCTGCTCCAAGCCGTGTCTGTTTGGCTTTAAAACAACAGGGGACAGACACTCATTTATACCAAGAAGGATTTGACCCACACTGCATTTCAGTACCGGCTCTTTTGTGAGGAATGACTCCTCCTGAGGCTTCAGGGGCCTGTAAAACAACCGTCTGCCCTGCCGAGTTAATACACAGCTCTGTGCATAACAGCCCCTGTCCTGAAACCTGCTGCAAGGTTTAGGCTCATACCGGGAATTGAGCCCTGTAGTACATTTACAGCCTTTTTAAAGGTGATCTGCAAAACAAATGTGAGTATTAAGATAAGAATGGAAACCTGTACTAAATTCTTTCTTTTAACAGCCTGTGGGGGGGCATGCGGCACATAAATACCCTCCAAGTCTCCATAAAAAAAGCCTTTATAGGGCCTGAGAAGTCATGTGGCTCCTTCAGACTTCACTAGAGATACCATAGAAAGCACAACTCTGGGAATTCAGCCATGCCAAGAGCCAGTGGTAATTCTAAAATGAGCCCTACAAACCGCACCTGTTGATTTGGGCGCATTATAAATCCTTAGCCAGGCCACAGGGACTTAGAGAAACTCTGATTATTTTATATAATAAGGAAATTCTAAGTGTGTCGAACAAAAACAATTACATTTTTAAAAGCTAACTTACAGAATTCTGAAACAGCTTCTTCCCCTGCCCTAATTACGTGAAACTCTGCTTCTCTAAGGTCATCTTCTCCCCGTTAATGAGAGACATTGATCTACCCATGCACATGCACAGGTATCATGGTGACAGGAAAGAGAAGTTCTTTTCCACTCTGTTTAAAGGAGATGAAGGATTTGCAGCAATTTTTGGAACTATAGGTACAGAAAGTTTTGTTGGCCCAACAGTTGTAGCTCTTTCTCGAAACTCTTTAGATATTGGTTTGTCTTTGTTCATGTTTTGTATGATCACGGTGTCTAAAGAGTCATTGCCACTACCTGGGCTGCAGTTAACTACCTACCTTTCTTTTTTTTTTATTTTCAGGGGGCGGGGTGGGAGTTGTCTCTGTATCAGCCAGCGAAGGGATGTATTGATTTCACTGCATTTTTATAAAAAATGAGAGGGTTTAGCTGTTTAAGGGAACAGTTCCAAAGTAATGTAATTTTAAACTTAGTTAAACATTTAACTGGGAGGGCACATCAGCTTGAAAATAGTTTGCTTGTTTAGCTTAAGCCAGTTGGACAGTGCTGTAACCTAAAGACAAATCAGTGCATTCGGAATAGATTTAAGTCTGCTTTGAAGTTACACTTGTCTCACTGCTGTGTTGACAAGGCCTAATTGTTACGAAGGTACCTAAGGTGGTGCTAACCACAAATCAGTTCAGTGAGAAAACCACTCGGATTGATCTGGCTTTTTCTGTCTCCCAGAAACAAAAAGCACCGACTTTCTATTTAATACTTTTTCTTGACCTACCATGTCTGTCCTGTCTGCTCAAGACTCTGCTTAGCAAGAGTTTCATCTCTTTTTTAACCCCTTTGTAAACAGGTAAAGTACAAGAGACTTTGGTGCTATTCATGCAACATATCTTACCCAATCCATAAATTAGTAATCAATCCATAAGAGATTCTAAAAGTGGAACTTTAATATTAAGTATCACATAAAATCTCTAAAGCTGAAAACCCAGTCCTCACATCCATGCATTTTTACTGACCAAAGTCCACTCTCAAGGTGTTCAGGATTAATCTACCAGCTCAGGTCACGATTACTTACTGAAAGAGCTTACGCACACAGAGATGCAGCGACTTGGGCGTGGATAAACTGATACAAAAGTTATTATCCAGATCCCTTTCTCTGTGGGATATCTCCTTGTACATCAGCACCCTGATGCACACATACAGTCACACGCTACCACTGTTATTTAAATAAGTTCTCAGCAGATACAGTACCCAGTACAAGGGGACTTGTCAGTCAGACTGCAACAGCGAGCAAGAACAGATGTGACTCACAGCACAGGTAGTCGTTGCTTTGCGGAGTCAAACACGTCTGGCCCAGGTTTGTTTCGTACCTGTTTAACTATTTCAGCCATAGATGCACATTCTTCTTTCCAACTGAAATATTTAAATCGATGCAAGCTGGGGAGCACATGCTTTGGAAGGGATCCAGGTACACCCAGCCTGATGTCCAAACGAGTGTTCCCACAGTGCTGACAGACAGATGTGGCCACAAAGTCAACAGGAGGGTCCCAAAGAGGCTTCTTGAATGGACTTACTGGGCTGCAGCAATGGGAGGTTGTTAATCTCCTCTGCTCTGCCATCGCCTGTGCTGTAAACTAAGAATAGATGTGCTGGTAATTATTTATTTTCTTACTTATTTATCAGACTTGGGCATCAGTGAATACTGGTGCAAAAGCACACAGCAAGCACTGAGTATGTGCAGGCTCCTTCCCAGGAGCCTGCGTTTTGGCATTACCTCTCAATTTCCCCACCTGCAATACAGGGAAAACATCTCCCTAACAGGGATTTTTTTGAGCTTTAACGCGGTGTTTGCAAGGTACCTTGGCTACATCTTTTGTTTAAAGGCAAAAGTTCCCTGGTGATACAGTCTCCGCCCTCTGGACTGCATCCTGTTGCAATGAGAATAGTAGCAATACTGTCAGCTCCTCAGGGTGTGCGGCTCTACTTACAAGCAGCAATGAAAATCTAGAATACAGCGTCCATGAATGTTAACCACAGCAGTGTTTAAGCCTGGATTAAAACTAGTCTAAACAGAAGCAGCTGTACAAGCTTCATCCTCAGCTCAGCATTCCCATTATTCCAGGCAGTTTACAGTACTGCTGGAGACTTTTTTCCACAAATGTATTTTGGGAGGAAAGCCTTGGTGACACTTAAAAGCTGCTGGGGACAGTAGGACAGCTGGTAGAAATTCACTGAACTCCAAAGTATGAGCTAAGCATGACACTTGCATATCCCCTGGCTTTCAGCTTTGGGCCACGCAACGCAGCCAAGCCGTGTGGGATACCCTCAGCTAACCCCCCGTGCCATGTGGTCCTGCTTACCTCTTTCACCTGCCATCTGCTATACATTCCTGCAGCGTAACAGGACGTGATAGGTAGAGAACAGGCAGCAATCCATACTGGACACCAGTCACTTCTATAGGCTCTCCCAAATTGAGAGCAGGTGATCCTGATCAGAACAACTGCGTGCTCCATTCATGTCGTACGTCAAGGTTGGTTTAAAAAAAGGCACTGGGAAGATATAATGTGACGTGACGCAACACGGCATGATAAGTACACAAATGCCTAATCAACTCATCTCAGATGGAAGGCAGCTGATGGGAAAAGCAAGCAAATTGGAAACTGCTGGAACAGCATGGACCGCTGACTGCCCAGATTACCTTTGGCCAGCTCAGCACATCTCAACATAAAAATGCAAGCTCAGTTACAAGGAATAGCAGGCAAGCCCCAGAAGGTCAGATGTTCCATTAACCATCAGGATCCTAGCCAATCCAAAAGGTACTGAAGTCTGATACCCTCAGGAACAGCCTCAATTTAGCAAAGGGGACATCTGCACTGTTCCCTAAAGAAATACAGGTATTTGAGTGGAAGACCCTAATTATTAATATCTTGTCTTGACAAAGTTGGGGGTGTCAACAGCCCTGGGGATGCCAGGCCCCTTCCATTGAGCGGCTGGG